CTGACTGTGGAAACTTTACACTGGACTTCAAGCAACGTGGATGAAGTGCCTCTCTTCTTTTCCTCCAGACTCTGGGACCTTGATTTCCAAAGGAAATGCAAAATTTACTTTCATCAGAGAACATGACTTTGGACCACTCACCAGCAGTCCAGTCCTGTTTCTCTTTAGCCCAGGCAAGACGCTTCTGACGCTGTCTGTGGTTCAAGAGTGGCTTGACACAAGGAATGCGACAGCAGAAACCCATGTCTTTCATTCGTCTGTGTGTGGTGGTTCTTGAAGCACTCACTCCAGCTGCAGTCCACTCTTTGTGAATCTCCCCCACATTTTTGAATGGGTTTTGTTTCACAATCCTCTCCAGGGTGCGGTTATCTCTCTTGCTTGTACACTTTTTTCGACCACATCTTTTCCTTCCCTTCGCCTCTCTATTAATGTGCTTGGACACTGAGCTCTGTGAACAGCCAGCCTCTTTAGCGATGACCTTTTGTGTCTTGCCCTCCTTGTGCAAGGTGTCGATGGTCGTCTTTTGGACAACTGTCAAGTCAGCAGTCTTCCCCATGATTGTGTAGCCTATAGAACTAGACTGAAAGACCATTTAAAGGCTTTTGCAGGTGGTTTGAGTTAATTAGCTGATTAGAGTGTGGCACCAGGGGCCATCAATTTTGAACCTTTTCACAATATTCTAATTTTCTGATATGATGAATTTGAGATTTTCATTTGTTGTCATTTGTAATCATCAAAATTAAACAAAATAAACATCTGAAATATATGAGTTTGTATGTAATGTATGAATATAATATACAAGTTTCACTTTTTAAATGGAATTACTGAAATCAATCTACTTTTTCATGATATTCTAATTTTATGACCAGCACCTGTATTTGCACCATACATATTAATGCTCTGAACTTCCATATCAATGCGTTTTTTCCACCATGTTTTTTCTCCCACAGTTTACATTTGATCACTACTGCACTTTATGAAATGGAAATGTTAATTTACTGTCTGAAAAGCTGTACTAAACGAAATAATGATAATAAAAGTTGTCTAAGTCTATTTAGATTTTTCTAACTTATACTATTACAGTTTTACAAAAGTCATTAACTGTAAAGTAACTAATGGCTAAGTTAACACCCCCTGACAAAATACTGTTCAGTACATATAGAGAAATACACTACATTTTCTATTTTCTTTTTACTTTACCACATCTGTACTATAGAGCCACACAATCTAACTTTTGGCCACTAGGGGCATTAGACCTGTAACCGGCTGTATTTTGCTTCTACTAAACATCAAAAATAATAACAAAGATACATGTCTGTATACTAGGAGCAAAGTCCAATGATAAAGTTGAGAAAAGAGAATTGGATTAACATCTGGCTACTTATTTCAGCCTGCGCCAATGAACAAACTCTTGTTTTTCCTCCGGCTAGATCCCTTTCATGTTTTCTCTTTTTAGCTCCTCAGAAGGTTTACATTTTTTCCTTTCACTCAGCCATGACCAGTAGTCCAGCTGGTGGAAAAATAGTAGAGCAAAAGCCTTAGCTCCATGACTGTGTAAGAGCCTGGGGGCATAAAGCGACACGTTCTTTTTAGTGTCACATGACCTGGCCAATGACGGTGCATCATCTCCCAACTTATATAGGCGATATTTCAAGAGGGGAGCCCCGCTTTAGCATTGCTAGAGTCAAGCTGAGTAAATTGGCCTGAAGGATTATTTAAAATAACTCACATGTGAAAACTCTTTAGGTCACAAATCTGCGGTTTGCCTTTAAAGCCGACATTGTTACTATAATCTGTGTTGTGTAGATACTGCTTGTATGTCTGCAAAAGAAAAAAAAAATAGATGAAGAATGTATCAATTGCTGCACATTACAGAGGACAGACATGCAGAGGAGCTTTGATTCATTTCACTCCTTTGTTTTACACTGATCCCCCTCAGTTGTTTCAAATGCTGAGAGTGAATGGCATGGGAATCACAAGAGACTTATCCAGAACCAACCTCTCCTACTTGTGCATGCAGAGCACAGTCAAGGAAATTCATATTCATGTGACGCATTTCAACTGTCACCTACTAGTATTCAGCCCCAAAGCACACTTCCAAGCTATTCGGGCCATGGAGGTGCATCAAAGCAACCCAATAATAAAAAAAACAGTTGCCACAAGATAGATGGTTTAGCTTGAAAGTGAACCACCCTATGTTCCATTTTAGATAAAACAACTTTTCCTCAGAGCACAATTTCTTGGACATATTTTCCATCTTCCTTTTTATCTGCCAATGGACTGTTTTATTTGGCGACTTTCCATTGCTTGGTTGTTTACTTAAGCTTGGATAGTGATGTTATCATACACAATGTAGGTATTTTAGACACATTTATAGATAACGGCACGGTTGTTCAACAACATGCAAAATATTAAACACCAATGTATTTCTTCTAACACTGTTTTAGCTTTAGGATATATATTTGAATTAAAACATTGAATTTATTCATGTTTTTTGTGCCGTGTCCAGGCAAATTTATTTCACAATCTTTGTAACTGCATCAGTTTCAGATTTTTTTTTCTTCTTTTTTTTCTGTCAGTAGACTTTAAAGCTGTTCAAAGCACTTTGAGGCTGAAAGTCTGAACAAAAGTCATGGTATTAACTTCAGATTTTGTCATAGTGGGTAACATGTTAAGAGCAGACTGCAATCCAGAGAAAATTATGTCATTTTAGACACAACTGTATTCATGTGCTGTGTGGTAAAAATGTTTACAAAACCATAAAATATTTTTTTTATGAATAAGCTTGTTTGGGTAAAATTGATAAGCTTTTCAGCTGTGTTCCTTAAAGTTTTTAAAAATGTCATTATGGCTGTGACTCATTAGTTATGGGCAGGTTAGGGAAAGCAGCTATTTTCTTGTAACCCTTCCTTGACTTATTTAGAAAAACACATATCTGTCCATATTTGTTTTATCTCCCTCACTTAAAGACTAGATTGCAGAATTAGACCCTGTGCCACGTCACATTTAAAGCTCAGAGAAACACAAAGCGGTCAATTAATGAGTAAATATTTTAGACTAATCAGCAAACAATAAAATATATGATAAATAAGTCAATGATTTAGTTACATTTCTAGTTAGACGTTTAAATATACTCATTGTGTATTAGAGTTTATTTACGTTTTTTAGCTTTTAATGAACCCTACTTATTCCAAGGTGAAATAATTAATTAATTAAACAATTTACAACTGTAACAAATTTCAAAATCAATAATTGAGGGATAGGTTTGCAATAACCTGTGCAATAATCCTGTTAAATAGGATACTTAGCAGTACATAAATCACCTTAAATCTCCGCCCTATTTCTTTTAATTTTTTCCTTGATCCACTGTATAGATGTGGACGCACTGTATATACCCCATGCACCTTTTCCTCCTTTTGGCACCTTTTTACTATTGAGCCGATGTGAAAAGTTAATTTCTCCACTGTGAGATCAATAAAGTCCATCATGTCTTATCTAGTGTAGATATTCTGTGCATAGATGGATCCCTGTCATTCATTAAATCATTAATATATTTTAACAGTATTGCTTTATTTCTTATTTGCAAGTTGCCTGAATAAAACCATCTGCCAAAGGCAAAAAAATTAAATAATATTTCTGGAAAACCCCCAAAGCCTTGAAAGTTCAAATCTTTCAAAAACAGGAAGTTGCTAGAACACAATGTCTTTTGTCTAAGGTGTTAAATATTGCCTTTGACTGAGATGATGCTGATCAAGGAGGAAACCTCCTCTTAATACGTAATAAAAAAATTTTAAACTGAAAATTATAGCTGCCTTTGGTCAATCCAGAACCCTTCTAGAAGAACAAATTTTGGTCAGTGGAGACAAAGGTTGGGGAGTGGCGGCCTAGTGGTTAGGGCATAGAGCTTGGAACCCTGAGGTTCTGAGTTTGAAACCCACTCCCACAGACTGCCTCCTGGGTCCCTGAGCAAGACACTTAACCCCACCCTGCTGCCCGGGCGCTACAATGGCAGCCCACTGCTCCCCAAGGAGATGGGTTAAATGCAGAGGTAAATTTCTCAAATGTCATTTAAAATTATCATTTTGGCCATGACAAGAAGAAGGTTTGAAGGAGTGAAAGTACAGCAAGTTGTGCCAACTGTACAATGTGGTGGTAGCCTCATGCTAGGAGTCTGTTTCTCTGTCAGCAGTAATTAGATGGAGGAATAAATTCACATCCTTAAACTTTTCCTCAAATCACGTCAATCGTTGGAACATGGACACGGCTGGATGTTCAAACCAGATATTGATCACAAAAGGACATAAAAACAGGTTTTGGAATGAGTGTGCAGTCCAACCTGATGCTGCTGGAGAAGCTGCTCAACCAACCATGCTGAACATGTGTGTGCTTTGCCAATTGGATTTGACTTACTGTAGGAAGCTAACTCAATTAAAATTACTCTATGGATTCAGATAAATAGATTGGCCAAAAAATGAATAAAAATATAACAACTCCTTGCTGATGGCTACAAAAACATATTTTTTTCCTTTAATTAGATAAGTCCAATTTAGCCAAAATGGCAGGGGTGGGTTCTCACTGATTGTGTATATTCTCTCTGGTCCAGGAAATATATATTCAAAAATCCCAAATGTCTATGAACTCCTAAAGTGTATATATTTCAGTATAGGCTAATAAATTAATGTTTTATACCTTTAAGCCATATGCTTGTCTCAGACAAGCATATGGCTTAAAGGTATACAAGTTGTCTCAGAGGTGCATATTGTAACTGAGCACCAAAAAATGATCTTATTTCTGTTAAAAGCCCTTTAATCCAACTATAAATGAATTTTTAAAGAAGTAAACAGAAAAAAAAAGTGAAATAAAAAAGCAAGTGCTTTAACAGCTCATTAACATACTCATTACCGTTCACATTATTGTCCACAAGAGGTCAGACATTAACAGCAGAAATCACAAATAGCAGCAGGACCATCAGTGCATGTTTCCCTGCAGACTAAAGTTTTCTCAGCCACTTGGAGATAAAACATCTCTTTCTTTACATAACTCCCCTTCAGATGAGTCCAGTCAGTCGTAGTTCACTTTGTAAAGACAATCAGTTTAAAGAGATAAAGCGGAACAAAGAGGCCAGGCACATCCGCATTGAGACCAGCGTTTGATCAGGAAGTTAATCTTTATAATCGCTCTACATTATCCAGTTTTTTCATATGGTTTTTATCCAATATTTTTTTCCAGCGCAGAATGTCAGCAGGCCCTTTTTGCTGACTTGTCTCACTTTTCCTGTTTTTTTGTGAGTGGGGTAAAGACGCCTTGTCCACAGGACTGAGATTGCTGTCACGCCTTTCCACAGACAAGGAGGCAGGTTCACACTGGATGTAAATATACAGTTTTTATTTATGCTTGGCAGCCATGGGAACTGAAAGCGAACACATTTTTCCACATTTTAAAGTTGCAGTAAATAGAATTTATATCTCTTAATCATTACTTTTTTTTTTTTTATCAAATCTTACTTTTTTTTTTTTCCTTTTTGTCCATATATTTTTTTTTCCAAACCAAGGGACTTGTTTCACAGCTTTGTTGGATTGACTCTCCAAGCAGTAATGGCCACAGCTCGGCTTGATTACGTGGCTCCGTGGTGGACATACTGGCTGCACAATTTCCCACACTTCAATTTTCTGTTCCAGTCGGTCGACAACACTTTCAGACCGGAGGAGGCAAACTATCAGCAGGTTGGTAACTGTACTTGTGCGTAAAAGCGCACGTATTTTATTGCTGAACACCCGGCTTTCATATGTAAATGTTACATCTAGACAGCCTATATTTAGTTGGAGAGCGGTTTAAACTGCTGTGTTGGGAAATAAAGGTTTCTCTCTCAGACACACTTCCTATCTTTTCATCACAGCAGAATTTCTGTGGAGCGCTTTTAGATTTTTGGATCTATCAGGAAGTGGGAACCCATGCTGAGCTGCCATTCCTCACATGATAACACATGACCTGTATTATAAATGCTGGTAAAGAAGTGACAATGCCCTTATATTATTTTATTATATAATATAAAGATATTTATAATCTATGCATTTTTTTACATATATTTTTAAAGCCGTTAAACAACAACATTGCAACTATCCAGGATTGATGGATTCATTATGCAGATAAAAAAAAAACACAAGATTTTATTTTTTTTATTATTATTAAATGACTTTCATAACTTGATTCCAAAAAGACACTTTTTTTCCCCTCTCCATGGATATTACACTTTCAATTTCATTTTTAAAATAACATTTTTAATCTAATCTGGTATAATCTGGTATTTTAAAGTTTTCTCATTTCTGAAAGCTAAACCCCTCATTACTAAACTCATTGGCAACATCCAGCTTTAAAAACAAAACAAAAACATCCTCCTGGAGATGCTTGTAATGCATATCCAATCAAATCTAAAATAAAAAAAACAGACAGTTTTAGGAAAAGCTAAATTGCAGATAGGAAATTAAGTACTTTGCATAATGTAATATAGCTCTTACTTCCTGTGGTTTTAATAGCTGCTGTATCGAAACAAGCTCTGTAATTGTAATGTTCAGTAGAAGCCACAGTTCTCCACCTTTTATTTGACTGTGTGCTCCATTTTATATTAGTTCTCTAATATTTTGTTTTCCTTCTTGACAGAATAATTCTACAAATACAATAACATGCTAATTTGTTTTGTTCCAAAATGTTCAGCTCCAATCAGTAATTTAACTTCTTTTTAAGCTGAAAAAAGTTTCAGATGTTATATACACTTTTCAAATCTTTGTATTGCTCTCACAAGCTAAACACTTTTTTTTTTTTTTTTTTTTTATCTCTTCCTGTTGTTAAACCTGTTGGCCTAGTGGTTGGAGCAGTGGTTGCATGTACCTGGTTTGATCCCCACAACCACTCTGGGTTCCTGAGCAAAACCCTTAACCTCACTCTGCTCCCCGGGCCCCACAGAATGGCAGCCCACTGCTCCCTAAGGGGATGGGAAATGGAGAAAGTGAATTTCCCCTTTGTGGGACAATAAAATGATTTACATTTACATATATCTCTCACACAGAAAGGCAAATTCTTTGAGAAATGTAGAAAATATTACACACTAATGACTCAGCACTTTTGTGATTTAATTGAATCTTTCTTTTCCCCCTAATATCGTTAATGACAGTTCAATGGTTTTTGTTTAGTATTTGTCGTCCTGCTCCCTCCCCATCATGCAGCTGTTTGCTTCTTATGGGCCTTGCAAGCGATGGAAATTGAAGTGTCAACATTTGTAATTACCAAACAATTGAGTGGAAAATTGGAGGAGTAAGAAGAAGCAGCATTGTTGAGCTGAGATGTTGTGGCAGAAACTCAGCCCGGTGTGAACCCATCATGAATTAGTTTCTGGTTTATCTGCAGTGACCTCTACAAAACATTTTGCAAATCATTGGATTAGCAGTTTGATCTAAATGGAATGTAAGATAAGACCAGTCCAGCTGTCCTTTGATTGGTTAAGTGTATCTAAACTTAAATGTTTGAACAGTTTGAAATCAGTTTAAAAACTAAAATTATCAGTGTAAGATCGGGGCAAAAGCCGCAGCTTCAAACAAGTGTACAATAAGACCAGATTTCTATGCAGTCTGGGGAAGTATTGGTGTGGATCCTTTACAGACCTTTCTCCTTCCGTCCCTCTGTCTGTCTGTCTCTCCGTCCCTCCCTCCCTAACAAAAGTGTGCATGTCTCTAGAAGAAATTCTGAAAATGTCACTGAAAATGTGTTAGAACCCTCATGGAAAGCTTTCTTAGGATGAAAAAAATTGTAATTTCACTTCAATTGCAGTGCCAGTCGAATCCGAATGTAATAATTAGTCAGAGATGAAGGTGTAAAATCAATCATCAGTCAAACAGCCACTTTGAACTTCTGGGCATTGATATTTGCAAAGCAAACTATTTGCAAGTGCAATTAGGGTCATGCTTTTGTCATGTCTTTGAACCGAATCTAGTGCTATAATAATTTGAGTCTCAAGTCCCATATTCCCAGCTATGAAATGTTTTTCATGAGTAGTTTTTTTTTTTTAAAGGCTTTTTAGGTTGTATAATTTCATTTTCTTTTTTTCTGCATCAGTGTTTTTTTTTTTTCCTGCGTGTGTTCATCCTTCAGGCTTGAAATACTTTGCACATTCAGAAATCACAAGACTGAACGAGAGACACTGTGTCACATGATGCTCCCCTCCAAAGGCCCTGGATAATTTTTGCTTCCCTTTCAGCTACATTCTAAATATTGCTGATAAACGTTGCAGAAAAATCTGGATTATTTGGAAAATGTATCTCCCCCAAGACCACAGAGATTTTTTTTGTTGTTCTTGTTTTCTGTGGTCAACAGTCAGCAGATATCATGTATATAAAAATGAAGCATCTGCTTTGTTATTTGACTTATGAAGTGTGGCTTCATCAAATCAACCACAAGGTTGCTGTGGTATGAAGTTTCATAAGATTTGCAGAGAAACTTGGTTCAGTCTTCAAAAACAAATTAAAAATACATGACAACAACCAATTTCACTAATGGTATCTTCTCTTACTCCTTCTCTTACTTTTCAGTCTCTAATATTTCTGGCTTGTGTTGGTGCCATTGGCCTCGGCCTGAGCCTCCTTGCTCTGACCCTGTACTTGGTATGTTTATGCTGCTGCCGACGGAGCCTGGATGAAGGAACCAAACGGCCCGATACCTGTTGTGTCACATGGGTGGCGGTAATCACAGGTCTCATAATATGGTGAGTTAAAGTACTTATGTGTATTGTGGTTTGATTTGTTTACCAAAACTACACCAAAATGCCCATTTTCCACTACATTTTCTACACAGACACTAACCATCTCTTTGAGGGGTCAGGACAGGTTTCATCTGGATTAGTTCTGTACTAATTCCTTAAATATAATTTGCTCTGAAATAGGCATTAATGCATTACAACAGAAACCCTGTAATGAAGTTTAGAGTTTTATTTATTGCCTTTAAAGCTTTTTGAGATGACCTTAGATACACTTGCTTCACATATATCAGGGCATCTGTTGTTTTAAACCCCTTAACCTCACAGAATGTGTTGCTTTGTATTCATCCTGCATTGTCCGACCGTGTGGATGAGTAGCTCTATTAGAGCAGCAAAGACTACCTGGAAATCTCCCAGTGCTCTACTTGTCATCTCCTTAGGGGTGTGCCATCAATCAGGGCTAATTGCTTAGTTTTTATTGACCCAAGGATCTTTGTTTTTAAGAAAGACCTCCACTCTAACAGGATAGTTTACTGTAGTTTAGTGCTATCCAAAATTAGTCCTTTTTTATTAGATGATTCACAAAAAGCACAATAACCCTTCAGGCGGTTGTTAATTTCTTTGACAATAAGATTGGAGTTTGTGCTCGTTTGACCATATTTTTGTTACCCTTTGAGGAAGTTTTGGGGGCCTATAGGTACTTTTGGGGAATAGCGACTGGTCCCTATGAGGAGATGTTCTCTTCTTAGGGTGAGGGTTACTGTAGGTTAAGGACTAAGATGTGAATTTAGGTAAGGTCAGGTTTAAGATCAGGGGTCCGTTCCAAAAAGCAGGTTTTCTGAAAACTCTTTTCTAAACCTGAAATATGGGAAACTGAGTTTTCCATTTCACAAAGAGAGTTTCCTCAACCCCTGTTTCAGTCGTCGTAGTAACATTCTCCTCAGAGTTAACCTAGTCGGGAGCAGGTTTTGTTGAGCAAACTCGCGAGGGGTCCTCTGTCTCCGCTCTCTTTACAGCCCCGTTATTTTATTTCCTGATTTAGTCAGATTTTTGTCAGTTTTGTGCATAAAAAAATAATTCAGTCGGTCTAGACACGTTAGCTTTTACAACAAACATTGCACGTCTGTTTGACAAGGATCTTATTTAAGAATGATCAGCACTTTTTCACAGAAAATGTAATATTTATGGGGAAAGGATGCTGCAACTCAGTTGACAGGGCCTGAGATTACTTGTTTTTGGTTTGTTTAATATGAGCGAGATATGGATCATTTTATCTTTGTTTATTTTTTTACAGAAGAACTACTGAAATTATTTTCAGATTACACATAAATATATTAATTAAATTCATTCAGTTATGACAGCCTACTGGGCCTACTGGCACAATCTGAACCCATTCTATAGAACTGACCACTAATAACGACAAGTGTTTGGGATGATAACATCTTAAGCGGAATAAGAACCCCATGAGACAATTACCATGTTCTATCTATAGAACAATGTTTTTTAGACTTCATCCTCTCCTGCTGCCAGTTGATTTCTGATGTTGAGTTGATTTCACCTAAATAGATACACTGATCCGCTACCCTTCAAGAAATAAACATTTTTGAGGTCACAAGACACTTTGGTAAGCCATTTTGATATGTATTCATTTGACTGAATATGTATCCCTAATATCTGACAAAAAAATGTTTTCCTTGTCAAAAAGACCGTAAAAAAAAATGAGATTCTTCACTCTAGAATGAATATTCCGGATGTCTAGAAATTGTTACTGTTCTTCATTTGTATTATTTTGATTATCATAGAGTAGCAGCCATTCAGCATCGCCCTTCCCAGTCAAACGCCGGCTGAATGGGAGCCTACTCCCCTGGGACTCCAAGCCACTGGAGTGACCCCAAAGACTCCACCCTTTCACTGAATTACAGGGTCTGACCACGAGATGAGGCATCTCTTTAGATGTTAATGTCCCAAAATCATGACAGAAAGAATATTGTAGTACAGTACAAAGATTGATGCTTAAAAAGGAATTGTAGGGGACCAGCCAAGGGCCCATCAAGGAAAGTGAGGGAATTTTGAATGGCTACTACTGTAAATACATATTTAGTCAAGCTGATAAATGTCAAAAGAGCAACTTAAAATGTGTAAACATTTCTACATACACTGAATATAAAACATAATTCTTACTAGTGTAAATTAGTTTTTATTTATTTATTTTTTTACTTTCTAAATTTCAGTTTCTGCTGCAAAAATGTAATTTAGAAAATATATTATTAGTGTTAGGTGCAGGAGTGCGATTTTAATCAGGAAGAATCTTATTTTAGTGATCTACAAATGGAACAACAGAGAGCAGTGCTTTTAATAAATATAAAATCGGCCTGCCATAGTCACTCAATATAAACTTATACATTAACTCGAGCAACAACCTTCTCCTTCACCATATTCCTCTCCTTTGCAGCTGTAGCTCTGTTTCTCTGGCACATTTTTTTTTGTTGTATTTCTTCATTACAAACCCCAATTCCAGTGGGGTTCCTGTTGCCTGTTGTCATTGTGACTCGTCGAATCGGATCCCCACTGATGATGGCTTTTAAACTTGTTACACACATGCTAAACTCTGAGTGGTTCTACTTAGAGTTGATTGAACTAATTCATAGCAGCCATTGTGAAACCAGAAACTCAGAGTTCCCGGCCTTAGGCTAGATCAATTTAGAGTTGCGGATTTGAATCTGTGTTTGTTAAACAGGCTTCGTGAAATGGACCCTAGGTATGTTTTGGTAATGGTTATGTTAAGGTACTAAGTTAGGCCATAGCAATTAATGGGACATGAATGGAAGTCGATGGGTATCTTTGACACAAGATGAGTGTGTGGGCAGGTGGTGACAAAATGAATTCTAAATGTTTTTTTTTTTAGAGACAATAATAACTATTATACTAAAGCTATTGGCTCCTTTGATGCTTACATATTGCCATTGTTCACATTTCTTGGCTTCAACATATTTCACTTCAACATATTTTTACCATTACGTTTGGTGGCTAAACTAATGGCCCAATTTTCACTTACCGGTGGTGAGTCTGACATAGTGGAAAAATTGCAAATCTTCTTTTGGAAAGTGAGCTTATAAGCAATGCAAACAGGAACTTTTAAACAGCTTGCATGAGGAAAAATTGGCTCGTTAATGCTCTCGCATGCGTTATTCATTTCTTCATTCATCAACAGGCATGTGCATCGTTATATATAAACTGCAAAAGTACAAATTCCTCTTGACATGTACAATTTTGGCCTAGATTCTAATTGAATTAGGCTTTACTTCAAAGCCCAAAATATCCAGTTTGAGCATCTTAAATATGTATTAACAAACCGGATACTTATCTGATAGTTTTTTCACCCACCTTTTTTGAACACTACTAATGATGGATACTTCCATCATGACTTCTGTAAACAGTGCCCTGCTCTGTGACGAGTTTATTCTTTTTCTGCATGGATCATTCTGTCCGCAACCATTCAGACTGAAGTCTGATCGAGGTCAAATTTAATTAGTAATATGAAGGACAAGGGTAAAAAAAAAGAATGGATTTCAGCAGCAAATCTGAATTTAGAATTGTGTCCTGTGCCTCAGTAAAAGGCCCTTAGATGTATATTCCTATAGCAAAGCAAAACTTTGAAAGAACAAATTGTAAAGTGCATTACAGTGTTTCAAAGAATAAATTAAGCAAATCCACACACCTGAGTAAAATATAAATCCTCAGTTATCTGTTGGAGTAGGAGGATTGATTGCAAAAAATCTTATGGCAATGCCAATCATTTTACGCAGGGATGTCTTTGCAGTGAAAAGCAGCAGGCTTATCTTTTAAGAAAAAGGCTGAAAGTCTTTCCAAGTCTTTTCTGTTTGGAAAAGTTGTTGTGGCAGTTTGCTTTTTTCCTGCATATTAGCTTTTATATTATGAAGATAATTGAGTAAGATATTGGTGTGTGACTTGTGCTATCTGTTAATTAAATTCTGCCTCCTCACATTACATAAGAGTTATATTAAGGAATACATTTAGGAGTACTTGAATCAAGATGGGAAAGTTAGGTTTTGTGAAATATTTATTTAACTTAAAATGAGAAAGGAACTTTTATTTAGATTCCAGAATTTCAAACAATATAAATATATTTCGTTTTGAATATGATTCAAAGCAGAAGAACTATATTAAGGCAGAAGAACAAGGTCTAAAAATCACTTAATTGAATTGGAGCACTAATCCAATTAAGCTTGTGACAGCATTGGGCTTTAACTTTATTAGCTCCCTTTAGCTATACCTAACAACTACTACAGCACATGAGGCTGGTTGTGATTCTAAGTAACTGGGCGTGATGTTGTTATTCAATGTTGTTTTTGGCCTCTCTATGTTACAGTATATGTGTTGTGGTGACTTTTGTAAAAATGTGGCACCTTACAGATAAAAGTAGCATATCTGAGCTAAATTTTGCCTTACTTACTGCTAGTTGTCTTTGATCATAAGGTTTTCCAAAGGTCGAAAACATATAGTATTTTATTTTTAACCCCTAAATTTGGAGGTTTCCCAAAATGAGGAGCTTAACCCAAGGTTGGGGCGGTGGGGTTTAATTGAAGGGGGGCTTGTTAAGAAGAAAAGGAATTAATTATTTAGTTTAAAAGGTATTTTTAAACAAGATTTTTCAATTGTATTTTGCAACATTGTAAAGTAAACAGGTTATCTTGAAATAATTAATTACCATTTGAAGGTAGTGTTTGTGTTTATAATGAGATTATAGTTTATTTTATAACTACATGAAATTTATTAGGGGTGTGGGGAAGAAAAATAGATTTGGCAATACATCGCGATTTTCAGATGCCTGATATAATATTGATATTTAAGCTCCTAATATTGGATAAAAAAATACTTTTATAACACAATTTGGGGGAAAATGTGCAACTTCTGCACCACCTCTCACCACCTTGGCGCTGCGGAGCCCTTTGGCTGCGTGGCACAATTTCTGTAGTAGAGGCAGTCACAGTGGCAGACACAGACTTATTCAAACCGCACATATGGATACCAAAACAGCAAAATAATCGAATGATCAATATCTTCTGATGAACGAATACAGCACTTGCTTTTTTTTATCCCTACATTTAATTTTAGCAATATTTAGCAATATTTTATGATAATATCGTATTGTAACACAAGTATTGTGACGAGTATCGTATCGCGACACCCTTGGCAATACTCTCCCCTTTAATTTACTGCAGTTGACTTTACTTTATTCAATTTTTGAAAAGGTGGTTGGTGGTTTCAGGGATTGGCAATTTTTTTTTTTTTTTTCAGACAAAAATTTTTGGGAAATGGTCATAGTTGACTGGATTCCAATGTAACCCTCAAGAGTCCATGTGGTGTATTTAAAAGAAGGTCATACTCCTTTGTACCTGATTGTGCTATTCGTTGGTCACAGTTAAAACTGGACAGTAGACCTGCAAATCCATGGGGACATTCAGGTGCAAATGTTGTAACAGGTAAATGGTACTGTAGCTCACAGATGCACATCAGTAGAAAAATAAGAAAAAGAAATGGATGAATAAGATTGCAGGATACCTCAGATGTTAGCAATGCTAACTTTACAACTGTGTGATCATGGGATCCTTATGAGATATACAGAATATGTCTGCATTTTGAAAAACATAAAAAAAAAAAACACACAACAAAGAAAGTTCTGTTGATGACCCATTCACTAGCTTTGCAGTTACTACATTTAATTAGAATCACAGCTTTAAAAGGCAAAGCACATCCCTTAATGTTTTTTTCTTGCTAAATGATTGGGAAAATTCAATTTAGTTATAAATTCAATATTTAAAAAAAAATCCCCTTCCTTGTCTTGGTTCCTGCTGCATCTAATGAAGTTTGGAGTTCTTTTTTTCCTACTAGTGGCTGTTTCTTAAGCCCCTTGCATAAAAGAAAAGGCAATTTCTTGTCTACACTGGCATCTCCATATCCTATACTTTATTGTTTTCCTTTATTTTATATCCTCTGGTTGCTACAGGGAGGGTTTTGCACAGTCACACAACTCCAAATGCATCCCTAGAGGCACAACTGCCCTATGATGTTCAGCGTGCCTCATTATTGTTTCATTACTGAGTCATTAGATGCTCCTCGTTGTTGCTGATGTGTCATCTTGGCAGCAGGGTTAATGAAGAGCTTATTGTGAAGGCCAACACTTATCAGCTTAAACAGAAGCTTTGAAAAGCATAAAGCAGGATTGCATGGCTTCTTTTAAACAAACTCAATTGAGTTTTTTTTTTCAAACTCATCCGTGAAACTGAACTTACATAGACCACTCTAATTGTGTCCTTTCTGGTTAGATTTGATTGTATTTAAAATGCACTTCTTGTCCCTTTTCATAATTAAATGAGAGACAAGCATTTTTTTTTTTTTTTTGTAAATGGTGCAAAACAAATGAGAACACAACTCAAAACAACATCCATCAACTTTTAGGCGAAGACACAATACTTTTTTATTTTTTTCAGATTTGCAAAACAAGATGCAAGATGATACATGAAAGTTAACCTGAGAAAGTTAATCCTGAGAATAAATATTAGACTCTCATGTTATCAAAACCTTATGGATAAATTTCACTTTCATAATATCACAGTATCAAAACAAAATTATTTCAAATAAACATTTGTAAAATGATCTGCTTTTATTTTAGGCAGAAAAGCAGCATCTGGTCCTATACTGTAGCTAATGACAACGGCCACAATATGAAAATCTAATTTTTAAGACACAACGATGTGAATGGGTTATCACTTCAAAAAGAAAAAAATATGTATTTATAGTGGAAGTAGGGTGGATCAGAAGGTTTAGCACAGTCCCAGAAAACCCAAGGTGAGAAATATGGATTTGGTGTATCCCACTGAGCTACATTCTCACTTGCCAGTTTGAAAGCAAATGAGGATTCAGCAGTCAGTAACTCCTGTGAAATCTTTTTTTGGTTAAACATTAAATTGTAATTTGCAGAACACCTGGATATTGGAATTGTATGAAAAGATATGGAGTTTAATTTGTAAGTTTAAGTCTATCAAAGCAAAAATGAATGGAATAATTTCCTTTTCCTCTTAATTTCTCCATCCATTGCAGTTCTGCTGTAGGAGTGGGTTTCTATGGGAACAGCGAGACCAATGATGGCGTCTACCAGCTGACCTACTCCCTCTACAATGCCAATCACACTCTGGATGGTATCAACAGTCTGGTGAGAGAAGCCTGCCAACCTCTGCTCTAAAATCTACATCTTAAATATTGAACATGTCGTGTGGGGAAGTGTACAGCATAATAATGCCCCCTGTGCAGCCAGTGTTTACTTTAACATTAAACTAATCAATCATGTAAGTTAGATGTAGTTTTTTTTAAAAATGATTCCCACCATCAAATAGAGAATTAATAGTTTGGTTTTTGAATTTGGGGGAGTGTTGGCCTAGTGGTTAGAGCATTGCGCATGTGCTCTGAGAATAATAATAATAATAATAATAATAATAATAATAATAATAATAATAATAATAATAATAATAATCAATCCAATTTGTACCGCACTTTTCATTAACAAAAATCTCAAAGTGCTAGAGAAGGTTGCAAGTACCCGATTCGATCCCCACAGTCTAAACTCTGGGTCTCTGAACAAAACCCTTAACCCCAAACTGCTCCCCGGGGGCCACACTATGGCGGCCTACTGCTCCCCAAGTGAATGTCTTAAATGTAGAGGTAAATTTCTCCAATGTGAGATCAATAAACTTTAAATATCTATTATTATTTAATTTAGTTAATAAACTTCTAATAAAAATCGGTAAGCTAACCAGGCAATAACACTGTTACTGTAAAAGAATAGGAACTACAGATTGTGTTGTAAATGGCTTATTCTGTTAATGGTAATCTAGACGATAACAAAGGCATGACCCTTTGATTGCATGGAAAAAGCCCAGCTTTACAGCTGGTAAGAAAAATTCAGAGCAGAAATCACTTCAGGGGGTCTCCATCCACATTTTGTCACATTAAAGGAATTTATGTGACTTGAGTCTGCGAATGTGTAAATATGGATTATTTCTATGTAACTCCTGACCTGTATTCAGGGAAGTTATTTTGGGAGGCTTAGGGGCAGGAGGAAAATGAAAGAGAAAGAGGAGAGGGCGTCTTGCAGGAAGCAATAATCACAATGAGAAAGAAGAGGATTAACTCCCATCTGCCGTGCATTAATGGATGCTAAGCCGCTCCTATTTCCATCTCCTGTAGTTCCACTCTCTGTACCGTAGTGTGTTCGCGCATGAACATGTCAGTATCATATATCCACTTTAAGTGCTTGTATACCGCATGATTTATCACTCTGTAGAATACTTGGTGTCCGAAGCGGAATGCAATTACTGTCCTTGAATTGTTAAAAGGTTTAGGTATGCATGATGCTTTAAACTGGGTGTGAAAATAGGAAATATGACTTCACTGTAGTTCTCACTAGGGCTGAAGCAATTAATTGGATTAATCAAGATTCCTAGATTATTGAAATAATCATCAACTTATTTTGTAATAGCCGAAGTGAAAATACTATAAAACAGAACAAGAAGAACCCCTCAGACGAAAGGTGTGTATATATATATATATATATATATATATATATATATATATATATATATATATATATATATATATATATATATATATATATATATATATATACATACACACAGTTAGAAAAATAAGTATTTAAACATTCTGCTATTTTGCAAGTTCTCCAACTGTCCAACTTAGAAATCATGGAGGGGTCTGAAATTATCTTCGTAGGTGCATGTCTGCTGTGAGAGGTATTCTGTAACTACATATTTGTATGATACAGCTCCAAATAAGTATTTGAACAGGTGAAAAAAATCAATGTTATTATTTGGTACAGTAGCCTTTTTTTGCAATTCCAGAGGTCAAGCTTTTCCTGTAGAGACCTTTTCTAGATCAGTCAGGTTTCTGGGCTGTCAGTGAGAAACATGGAGTTTGAGCTTCCTCAAAAGTTTCTCTATTGGGTTTAGGTCTGGAGACTGGCTAGGCCACAACAGAACCAACAGTGGGCCTTTCTTTACCAAGTTCCTTGGCAATTTCCCTGTATACTTTTCCAGCCTTGTGGAGGTGTACGATTTTGTCTCTAGTGTCTCTTGACACTTTGGTATGGTCATGTTAGTAGTTGGATTCTTACCGATTGTATGGGCTGGATAGGTACACTTATGCAGATAACGACCTCAGACAGATGCACCTAATTTAGATTTTTTTTCTAGCTGATAGACAGGTGTTCAAATACTTATTTGCAGCTGTATCATACAAGTAAGCAGTTATAAAATCATATATTGTGATTTCTGGATTTATTTTTTATTGTGTCTGGCAGTCTGTGTCTGGTCTGTTTAAATTGGACAATATGTAGCATCCTCCTCACTTAGGGAGTTGTGGATACTCCCTAAGTGAGGAGGATGTGATACATTTTTCTTTTCTAAAAAACCAGACCATAGCTTGTTTTTGAGGATAAATTTTTTTTTTTTTTTAATGAGAAGAAATATTCTGCTTATCTCGACAGTATTCTATTAATAACCTGCTTGTTTTGCATGTTTAACAACATTTATTTGTTTTAGCTGCAAAAACCTTTCCTGCTGTCCACACTAAAAAGAATGGGTCTTTGACTGCGGCCAAAAGTGCATATATTTTATATTGTTTTAATTTAACTTCCTTTAACGTTTTTTTGTTTTGTTTTTTGGTTTGGAATTTCACACCACTATTTTTGATTCGGGTAGAGAAGGTTGCCTAGTCTGGTTCAAATCATATGTTCATTGGTCTGCAGCAATTTTTAGATGTGTTTTCAGTTGCTTTGTGTTTTTTTTTTTTTTTATCATTTTACGTGCATATTTCTGGATTTCAGTCATTAAAAAAATAAAATAAGCCAACATAGGCTTAAATCCTGAATATAAAGTAGAACAAAAGCAGTACAAATATTGATAATACTCTTCTTCTAATAGTTATACAGAAACATTTGTTATATCCTACAAATATTGCCATCTTAACAATATTTCTTAAAAAAAAAAAAAAAAAAAAAGAAGGTGAAAATCGCAAAAGCTATAGTGAGAATATGCTTTTAACTTGGGATAACTGTTGTGGAATCTTTACTGTAGAGATGGGATTTGGCTCTGATTGTTCTACAGACCCTTTCAGTCGCCTTCATCTCCAGTTTCTTTTATTGATTTAACCCTAAAGTATTATATATGTTACTGCTGCATGAGAGGAATTAATGATCCCAAGAGGTACAAAGTTTTAGTTGTGTGCAAAATCGTTGTCTGATCCAACTTACTCTGCTTAAAGAGCTGATGATTATCCCTAAAAAGTTTAAATAGTATATAGTCTTAAGATTTAGGGTTATAACCAAAACATTTTCCTCTTCTCAAAAATGATATTTTTTGGGTATTTTAAAGTGTTTTTTATACTTGTAATTTACAGAAGAAATCTAATTTTAGTCATTCACTTTGTTTTAACCTCGGGATCGCAGTTCATCTCATAGGTTAGTGATTTTCTCTAAGAATCGTTGACTCTGCTCATGACTTTTAAGGGTGTTCCCATAATAAAATTGAGAGGCCGCCTGCAATGTCTCATATAAATCAATAAGATTAGATGCAGACCGTTCTCCTTTTGCTATTGAACGAGCCCTTTGATTGTTCACACGCTTTCTATAATTCAGTCTTGTTTCTCGTGTTCAGCTTGCAATATTAAAGACTCTTCACCACTGCCAGAAAATAATGGGTGAGAGAACAATACAATCAGACTATCTTTTCAGATGTGTGTTTCAAATCTATGGAAGTGCACACTCTTTTACATAATGATTCCTCTAAAAATGGGAAGCTTCCCTGTGATTTCTGCAACAAAACGACAGTGACTTTCTGCATCATAAATAAGCTCTATTATATGTCTTTCTTCTGAAACCTGGCACTAAGTTTTGGGTCCTTGTTAACTTAAGAATCCTGTAATCATTCATTTACTTTTGCAAAAAATTCGCACACATATATATATATATATATATGTATGTGTATGTATGTATATATATATATATATATATATATTGATCAGCAGTGCACTTGAAATTGTTTTTGTAGGTAAAATAGTGGGGGATTCTCATTTACAGCCATGTCCAGTATGGAAAAACTTCTTTATGACCTTCTTTTTGTGGTGGAAAAAAAGATATAATCCATTTTAAAGGGAGACGGGGCAGTGGAGATTAGGGAAATGTGGACCACCCCCAGCAACTCAGTGATGGATCCCATTTTTCACAGTCAGGCAGAAGGCGTGTGGATAAGATTTGAGGCGTTATGGCAGGAACTGTGAGGAATGATGAACGCAGGGGTGGAGAGTGAGAGCAGGTTACTGGCAATAGGATACTTTACACTGTGGGATTGCTTGAATAGAGGAAAAAGCCTGTATCTTTGCAGCATCTTCACATCAGTACTCATTTTGTAGACGTACTTAGAAATCACGCCTGGCATCTCTTAGTGAAATTTAATCAGGGGTATGATGTTTCTGCGCTGTGAAGGAGACAGATAAAGTATTTTTCCTTGAGGTACATTTTTATAGTGTAGGATTGAACTGTCAGCTAAGTTAAATGTGTGAATATGTTGAAAAAATTAAAAGTCATGAAGTATCTGTCAGTCTTTTCAAAAATTGCTTTAATCATAATTTTCATGATGTTTTTAAGATAAAAAAAATCTTAGAACTTTTTTTTTTCTTAAGTGCATGAAATATCAACAAACCCTATATGGTTTTTCCTTTTTTAACCTTAACTGTTGGTCATTTAGTCAAAGATTGAAGTGTTATACTGTCTGATGAAAGTTATGTGGTGCTGTTTTGAGCAATGATTACTAGAGTTTTAGCTATTTAACATAGGGTAACAGGTTTGACTTTATGAGGCCAAAGTAAATGAGGTGGGTGGATATTTTGTTGCAGTCAGATACCATAGTTGCTGTTTAAAAGCTCTCCTGTTTGCTTCATAAACCCTTGACTGGTCCATCGCTGGTAACCATCAGGTCCATGGGGGTAATGTAATTCCCTGCGGTTATGTTTTCAGTGAGGCCAAAGCCCTAAGCTGCCAGAGTGTAAACCAGCTGCAATGCCTATGGGTGGAGTTACAGTAAACACTGATACTCCCAGCAGAAAGAGCGGGGCCATTCCAGCAGGTGGAATTTGAAGGGAATTTGGCCGGAGCTTGGCCATTCAGCTGGCTTTCGGCCTGAAGGGAAACTTTTAAACCACTACTACTGTAGTAACAGAACAATAAACTGTACTGTATTTTATAATGTTAAAGCTAGCTACTTTAGCTTAAAGTATTTGCAGTTTATGTTTTATCCTGTTTCCAGTGTTAAGAGGCTTCAATTTGATGAACTGCTTAGAGGAGAGCGACTGCAGCAACCCGTATGGGTTATGGTCTCACTATAGCTTCCAGTTAACTTGAACAGCTATACAGACAGAGCTTTTTGTCCTCCCCTATGAAATATTTGCTTCTTCGTGTGCTTACAGTACAGTATTATAGCTCTAACAATAAGGTATTTTTGTGAGTTTTGATTTTTTTTCTTTAAAAATGAAATCAAATAATATGGAGTAAATAAATGTGTGACTTTAAAAACAAAACACATAATTAAACAACCAACTTGCACCCTTCAGCAGCCAATGTGCATTCACACCGAATGCATTCAGGGAGTCAAATGATCTCATACATGCAATGTCTATGGGGGGCAGCGACTTCATCCTGGTGTCAGGGCAACCAAGCGTTTGACGCTGGTGTTCAGAAATCTAAACTTTGTCAGCTTAACCAGGAGCATCAGCCAAACAAAACTGCTAATCCAGCAGTCTTTTGGGAGACAGACACTACATGTAAGATGTCATCGCTTTTGCAGAGTTGTCAACATGTAAAAAATGAATATAAAGGAGTTGCACTACATGGATTTAAAAAAAACAACAGAATGAATTGTTATGTACAAGGAAAAGAGTGAGCTCTGACTCCACTAAAACATCTTTTTAAAGAATGCACCATTAGAAAGTTTTATTATACAGTGTAGATGTGGTTTGTGTTGAAATGAGTCAACATGTGATCAATGTTGCAGGCATGTGGCGATCACTATTAATTCCAACTAGCTTACTTAAATAACTTCATAAATGAGCACATTATACTGTTCTTAAGCAACCTCTGATAATATTTTTTTTTATTTTTTTTTATATGAACCTTTTTTGCAACATTGTCAGTTTTATTCAGTGTGGTGAACCATGCAATTCTTTTTATTAGCATTACCAGGGTTTTTGTATAAAACAAAATCGATAAAGAACCCTGAAATTTCTTCTGTAAAAGTTCCAACCAAAAAAATGGGAATGAAAATAAAATCAGCAGATTTTTTTTAACAACAGTTCAATTGGTTATCTAGTAGAGTGGGGTTTCAAATCAGACTTAAAATGTCTTTGCATAATGTGTCTTTTACAATAAAAACAAAGCAAGACCTGGTTACACAGATGTCCTTCTCTGCACAGATAGATCTTTTGAGATTGACCTAATCGCTGCAGGTAGAGTGATGCCTTGTGTAGCCCAGTATAATGAAGCCTTTCGAGCTGGTGGCTGGAGGCCCTGACTCAGTGATGTCTAAAGCGATCGCTACAAAGGTAGTACGAGACAGGATGATTCACCACGGGAGCTGTGTGTTTGAGAAGGTTGCTTTTACAACCAAATATGATGCTATCATGACCAAAGGGTAAATTCATGTACTATAGTCAGTGTTTAAAATTACAAGGGCAGCACTAAGATAGATTTGAGACAAATGTTGCAAAATGAAGCAAGTTCGTATTTAAAGGTAAGCAAATGCAGACAAACATTAAAATAGCACAAGGCACCTTTTTTATACAGTTTATCTGGCATAAAATGGATTTTGGGGTGAGTTACACTTTAATGATTAGTATCATTACCACAGTTAACATTGCTAACAGGAAGTTTTGTGTATTTCTTTTATAATAAGTAGATATGGATCCAAATTGTAAGATTTTAAAAAGGCTGTTGATATTTTCAAATCCAGTAAGCGCCATGAAAGGAAGGTTCAGACTTTTCAGTTGCATAAAACAAAAGTGTCAACATTCCTCATCAAATAATTAGTTTCTGTGCCTGAATCTTTTTAAAAAATGTAATTCTTCTTCCAGCTGTATGTTTAAACATATCACAGATACTGAAAGTAGCCAACTAAGTCCCATTTTCTTTAAAAATTCCGCAACAAAGGGTGTAATTGTTGAAACAGCCTGTTTAAGACACATAAAACTGATTCCTAGCTTTTGTTGTTTAGGGTTAGTCACCTGTTTCTTGTTGCCTCTCTAGGATTAATGCATCTGTTGTGCATCGGTCTTCTGCAACAGATGGAAAAGGGTTTTAAATTGTGTTGCAAATGTGCTTTTGTGTTGGAACTTAAAGCAGCAATGTGGGTGCAACCTTTTTTTTTTATTTGCGTAAGAGCTAGAATGGAACAATGTTCAACCACAGGCTTATGTAACTCTGAGCTGACTGTGCTATCTGTGCTAACTATGGTGACCTAATATGACATATTTTGGTGTTAATGTTCTAAGACCATTTAAGAGAATGATCTTTTCAGACAATGCTACATAATAAGGATTCCTTTAATTGCAGATACTATTTTAGCTTTTTCTTCCACGTCATATGTTCAGATCCGTTGAAGTAAAGCAGCAGGCAAAAGTGCCATTCCTTTGTCTTTGTTTAAGAATAAAATAAAATCTATTTACTTCGTTTAGTCATGCTTCTTGTTTATCTCCTCTTTTAATCAGAGACTTGAATAACAACAGTCTTCCCAGTGTTATTAGGTTTACATCCTTATATAATTTACCCCAATAAAACACACAATTAAGAAGATCTGATTTCAAATGGCCCTTTTAGCTCCTATAGCGTACTATCTGCTTGTAATCAGATTTCCTTATAGCTCTGATTTAATCTTAATTTCTGCATGCTGTTATGTCAGTGGGATTCTACTTTGCCTGTTTCAACAGTCTTCTTTTGTCTCTCTTTTTTCTCCTGTGTGATTGCCCTTTCATCCACATTCTTCTGCATTCTTAGGTTGCTGGAACTCAAAGCAATGTGAAAACTAGACTTAAACAACACCTAGAAAGGCTGGATGAGATTTTTGCTTCAAGGACTGATTACCTCCAGGCCCTGCGCTTCCTTCAGCTAATGGCTAACAACATCATTCGTGAGCTGACGGCTCTGCCAGATATCAACAGAACCAAGATTGACTTGGCAGCCATTGCCGACCAGACTGCTTTCATTGAGTATTACAGGTGAGTGGAGTTTTACTAGCTCCACTGGGTTGATGGAAATCATTTTATTTTTATGTGCATGCAGATGTAACAAACATGCTGTTTAGAATGGAGTAGTAGTAGAGATACAACTCAGCCACAGAGCAGATGGGATTTTATTGATCTCTCCTGAGAAATGCAACCCGGAAAAGCTATTTGTCCTGATTGCTAAATAAATGAAAGCTGAAATTGAGCTCATTTTCTAGCGTGCTGTTGAGGTCTTACACGCAGTCTCTCCTCAGATAATTATGCACGACCGAGTGTCTGTTTGGTCATAACTGATCTCCATTTACTTAAATTATTTTTGGTCTGTAAGCTTCGGAAATTATACGCACAGACTCACATACATGAAACCATGATGCATGGTGCTCTCTAGGTTACAGAAAAAATAAGCTTTTCCTTCTTCCTGTTAAAACGGCACCCATCACATGGCAGGCCCACAGGATCTAGTGATTTTGCTTGAAAAATAGTAATTAATTAAGACGTGAAGCAAAACCCAATACAGGAATCGGCTGAAGCCAAGTTTAAGCCGCATGGACCTGGCCAATCTGAAACCTTTCAATAGGTAGATGATCTGCTCAGACTTATACACTAAAACAGGACCTGATTATTATTCAACACCTGTATGTCTATACTACTACTTTATTTATTTATTCATAAAGCACTTTAAGGCAACCATGGCTACAGCCATGTGCTGCACATATAAAGGAAGAAAAAATAAAAATAAAACAAGTAAAAACCATAAAAACAAACAATAAAAGAATCAAAATAACAAAACAGAGTCAAAATAGAAAAAGTTTCACGCCGTGCTAAAAGCCAAGGAATAGATGTATGTTTTTGAAGGTTTTTTAATTTAAATAGACTTGTCTAATTTTAACAGAAGGATAATTCCATACCCTTGAAGCAGCAGCTCTAAAGGCTCTGCCCCCCTCACCAGGAGGCACCTGAAGTCCTTTTAGAGTTCGGTGCCTCCTGGAGCAGCTGATCAGCTGACCCAAGGCATCAAAACATATTTAGCAGTTGGGTTGAAATGTATCCTTTGGATCAAACAAAGCATCTTTGAATCCACCTGTTTTTTTATATATATATATATATATATATGTATTTTTTTTTTCTTTCCTGTTGATGTTAGTGTAATGGATATATGACCTTATCTGTAGGGTTGTGAAGTTGTTAAAACTAAACTGCTCTGTTTTTTCTATCTTCAAGTGAAAAACTCTTCCATCCATTTGTCTGTGCGTTATTTAAGAAAGTTATTTAAATAATCAATTCATCATAATCAATCATGTTATCCCAACTTGAATCTACTACTCTTAACCAGAGATGGGAAGTAATGAAGTACAAATACTTCGTTACTGTACTCAAGTAGATTTTTCTGATATTTTTACTTTACTTTACTACTTATTTTTATGACGACTTTTTACTTCTACTCCTTACATTTTTACACAAATATCTGTACTTTCTACTCCTTACATTTTTAAAAATTGTCTCGTTACTTTAGTGTTGAATCATTTCAATGGAGTTACCGTTATTATTTTTCACGTCATCAATACCAAATTCAATCTAATTGGATGGGAATCTACGTTGCATTTGACGCACCACTACAAGATGAATCGACAGATTCGGCGGTATTCATTGGCGGCAAATCATTGCAGCTTGGTGGCGGTGGCGTTAGCATAGTAGCATGGACGACGAGATGATTGAAAATGAACACAACGGAGATCTAGTCCTATTGGCAGACATCCATTTAAAATGTAGGCAACGGCATGAAAAAAGTGGTTTCTACTTTTACTTTTATACTTTAAGTACATTTACAAGCCTGTACTTTGTTACTTTTACTTGAGTAAAGAAGTTTAATCAGTACTTCCACTTTTACCAGAGTATTTTTGAACATAAGTATCTGTACTTTTACTCAAGTATGGAAAGTGAGTACTTTTGCCATCTCTGCTCTTAACTCACATATACAGTATACAGGTGCTGGTCATAAAATTAGAATATCATGAAAAAGTAGATTGATTTCAGTAATTCCATTTAAAAAGTGAAACTTGTATATTATATTCATACATTACATACAAACTCATATATTTCAGATGTTTATTTTGTTTAATTTTGATGATTACAAATGACAACAAATGAAAATCTCAAATTCATCATATCAGAAAATTAGAATATTGTGAAAAGGTTCAAAATTGATGGCCCCTGGTGCCACACTCTAATCAGCTAATTAACTCAAACCACCTGCAAAAGCCTTTAAATGGTCTTTCAGTCTAGTTCTATAGGCTACACAATCATGGGGAAGACTGCTGACTTGACAGTTGTCCAAAAGACGACCATCGACACCTTGCACAAGGAGGGCAAGACACAAAAGGTCATCGCTAAAGAGGCTGGCTGTTCACAGAGCTCAGTGTCCAAGCACATTAATAGAGAGGCGAAGGGAAGGAAAAGATGTGGTCGAAAAAAGTGTACAAGCAAGAGAGATAACCGCACCCTGGAGAGGATTGTGAAACAAAACCCATTCAAAAATGTGGGGGAGATTCACAAAGAGTGGACTGCAGCTGGAGTGAGTGCTTCAAGAACCACCACACACAGACGTATGAAAGACATGGGTTTCTGCTGTCGCATTCCTTGTGTCAAGCCACTCTTGAACCACAGACAGCGTCAGAAGCGTCTTGCCTGGGCTAAAGAGAAACAGGACTGGACTGCTGGTGAGTGGTCCAAAGTCATGTTCTCTGATGAAAGTAAATTTTGCATTTCCTTTGGAAATCAAGGTCCCAGAGTCTGGAGGAAAAGAAGAGAGGCACTTCATCCACGTTGCTTGAAGTCCAGTGTAAAGTTTCCACAGTCAGTGATGGTTTGGGGTGCCATGTCATCTGCTGGTGTTGGTCCATTGTGTTTTCTGAGGTCCAGGGTCAACGCAGCCACATACCAGGAAGTTTTAGAGCACTTCATGCTTCCTGCAGCTGACCAACTTTTTGGAGATGCAGATTTCATTTTCCAACAGGACTTGGCACCTGCACACAGTGCCAAAGCTACCAGTACCTGGTTGAAGGACCATGGTATCCCTGTTCTTAATTGGCCAGCAAACTCTCCTGACCTTAACCCCATAGAAAATCTATGGGGTATTGTGAAGAAGAAGATGCAATACACCAGACCCAACAATTCAGAAGAGCTAAAAGCCACTATTAGAGCAACCTGGGCTATCATAACACTTGAGCAGTGCCACAGACTGATCGACTCCATGCCACGCCGCATTGCTGCAGTAATACAGGCCAAAGGAGGCCCAACTAAATACTGAGTGCTGTACATGCTCATACTTTTCATGTTCATACTTTTCAGTTGGCCAACATTTCTATAAATCCTTTGTTTTTATTGGTCTTCAGTAATATTCTAATTTTCTGATATGATGAATTTGAGATTTTCATTTGTTGTCATTTGTAATCATCAAAATTAAACAAAATAAACATCTGAAATATATGAGTTTGTATGTAATGTATGAATATAATATACAAGTTTCACTTTTTAAATGGAATTACTGAAATCAATCTACTTTTTCATGATATTCTAATTTTATGACCAGCACCTGTAGCATCAGCTATCTTAGCACACCATTTGCTTGGCTGTCTTTATTTAAGGAAATAGCCTTGTAGCACCATGTGTATAACCAGCTGGAAAAAAAAAGGACTGCGAGAAATGTACTTCAAATTGTATTACAGTATTTTTCCTATAATTATTCTGATTATAATAAAATGGGGATTAAAAAATATTTAAGTAACTAATCTCAGTTTTTTTGCATAACTAATACAGCTCTTAAAAAAACTAAATGTAGCTGTTAGTCTATTGTAGCACTAAAAATAACATTTTCTCGCTTAATTAAAAAATTTCACGTTAGTATATTCATATTCATTCTGCTCTCAAAAAAACAAAATTAGATCATGACCATCCGGAAAATAAATGCTAGTGTTTAGGGATTACAGAGGCAACGGTCCAATACCTATCTACTATCTTAATTTTGATATCGGATATCAGAGATCCAATCCAGTGCACTTTACATTTAATTGTTATTTCTTTCTTTTTGCTGTTTATTTAGTAATACATAATATAATGTACATTTATATCTCTGTTGGTTTTTATTACCCTTTTTCAGCAATGTTTATGTCAAGGCTAAACCTCTTCTCGCATGGCAAGATATATGGTTCTCCCATTTATCAGCTGAATTGGATCGTTATTGGATATCAGCCCAGGTATCGGATTAAATCATAAAAAATTGGATCACTGCATCTCTAATTACCATATAATTAATTACTTGATGTTAGTTTTCATGATTAAAAACAATTCTCACCACAATTATAGTTGTTCCAATTCCAATATCAGTATCGGAAATGTCTCCTTCACTGCCGAAAATTCTGGCATTGGTATCAGCGAGAATTGGAGTCCACGCACTGATCCAAAGTGATCCAAAATTTTATTAAAATAGGATCTTTTTACTGGTTATTTAGATTATTTCCATTAAAGGGTTTAACCTCAGCCAGGCCTTAACACAAATGGAGGTGATTGTGCTGACATTGCATGTTTTCTAGCTGATGTAAAATATCCATCATTGTTCATGCGATCAACGACGGCTACAAAAAGAGATTGTGCATCTGTTTTTATACAGGAAATAATTTAACCAATATATGGCTACCACCTTTGATTCCCCTGGCTCCTTTGTAAAATGCATTTAATTCTGTGATTTGTAACTCACTGAGCTCATTCAGCTGGCTGTCCCTCTCCTTTCCTAATTAAATAATTTGATATATTTCGATCAACAAATTGAGTTGTCTCTGTTATAAAATATCATTAAAAAATGCATAAAAAAATGCATTATGCCAAAGCTAAACCTAGGTTTCTTGAAACAAAGTAGCTTCAATATTTAAAGGAGTCAAATCATTCCATAGAACCAGAAATCTGAAAATAGATGATTAAATTGGAAAAACGGGGTGTTTAAACATATCACACTTCAGTTTGGAATTGATAAAACAGTCAAAACAGTTATTGAAATTACCTTGCTGTTTTCATTTTCCTGATAAATTATCTTAGCTAATTTTGAAAATAAATTGGTAATGGACATTATTATATAAACGGAATTCCATTTCCTTGTATTTTTCCTTCATTATATTTCCTTACTTTCATCCCTATCAGTTTTAGGAACACCATACTCTTTTAATTCCTCACATTCCAAGCAATACACAGACTACTGTCCAAATAACATGATTTGTACTATTAGTGCTAAAGCCTTCTTATATCAATTTCATACACCATCCAGCTTGGCTCCACATATCGTGCACTTTCTGTACCAACAGCGGATTTTCCTTTGGACCACAGTTATCTGACACTGATCCCCTGGGTCTTGATTGGATTTTATGTGGCCATTGAACAGCCTGCAGCAGAGTTTTATTGAACAGAAAATGTTACAACAATCCAGTGCTACTAGGAAAAAAATGACACCATTCCGTTTTCCTAGTGTTGTATTTTTCTCTACTTTCGCCTCGAATTCAGTTACATGTAGGTCCTTCAGTGGTACTGCTTTTAAAGAAAAAGTGCAATTTCACATCCTCCATCCATTTACTTTATTCTGTTAGTAAAGTTATGTTAAAAGTATATCAGATCGAGTACCTGTGCACCTTTTAATGAGCAGAAGGGAATTCTATTATTCAATAATGGTCAAAAATATAATTATTGCTGTAGTGTACAGTCTGTTTATAGAATATTAAAACATGTCTGTTTGAGTGAAATGTGGAACATTCGAGTTTTTGCCAAAAATGTATCATACTTATCAACTGGCTGTTGAGAATGGCTCATAGGAGCTTGCTTGACTTGCCAAAACCACACATATGCACACTCACACTTTACGCTTTAAGCTCAACGTCAGCCGTTCTTGTGAAGGACATTTTCAGAGGAGAATGAAAAATTAATGTCTATGGATTGGCGTTGTTGAATTATTAAGCTCAACATGCTGGAAATTACCTGAAACAGACAGGCTTTAAGTAGGAGACACTAGTGCTGATTGAAAAGACATATAGACAATTCACACCTCATGCCTACACAAAAATCGAGACAGCATGTGCTGACTCTTGAATGCATAAAGAAATTTGTTTGTTCGTGAAAGATAGTGATGCAGCTTGTTATTGATGCGACACTCCCCTGTCTTATAGATGGCTGACCTACCTGCTGCTGCTGATCCTTGACCTGGTCATCTGCTTGGTGATGTGCTTAGGAATTGCTAAGCAGTCTCAGTGTCTGCTGATCACGTAGGTACCATCAATGTGCACTTAAAGGAAACCACCTTTTGTCTCAATCTAAAGCTATATTTTGTGTAGCCTCTGTGTTCTTATTGAAGGGCTACAGTAATAAAGGGCATCAGTCAGCATCAATGGTGACATAAACATTGACCCTGCCGTGTATCACTGCAAAAGACAGTACTCAGCACAAGATAACACAAGAATGCTCATATTCATCTACTACTGTACATTCGCAAATATAATTACAGCAGCATTTATCTGCCTAACTCTTTGTCACAGTAGCTGATTGAAAATAATTTTAGATTAAAAAAAAGAAAATAAAAAAGATGGCGCCATAACGCTTGGTTCTTTAAATTTCTGCCAATGATTTAAATTGGCAATGATGTTCAACAGCCAAATCCACATTTCAGACTCTCCACCCCATTTGCCCAATTTAGTACAACCTACATGTCAGTGTTACCAGATGATGCTCAGGATCGCTGCTCACATCCCTCTCTAATGGGCCCTCACTAATGCCTATTGATCGACTGAGAAGGATAAGACTGCTCCCTTAACTAATTATTAAGTGCTCTCAGGCTGCTTTATTGGTGCTTTCAAGAGGGTCCACGGAGTAAGTTGGTGCAGCGAAGCCATGCCCAGGGCTTTTATATCCATCACGGGGCCATTTTTTCCTCCTTTTACATAGTTTATCTACCGCACACTCCAGGCCTTATTTTAAGCTTTATTCCAGTTATCTCTTTCAAAAAATGTTGTTAATAGTTTAAGATTTTCTGAAGTAGTTTCTTTTTCTACAACCCTTTAATATAAAAATCTTGTTAAAATAGTCAGTCTTTAGGTCACAATAAAATTAGAAAGTGGAGTACCACTAGCCTCTCCAAAAATAGGATTTGAGCCTATATAGTATTAGCCATACAAAATTTCCCCACTTTCCTTTATGGGCCTTTGCCTGGTCCTTGGCTAGTCCCCTAAAAATAATTTTTAAACATCTAAAATATTATTTCTGTCATGATTTGTGGACATTAAGATCTAAAGAGAAGCGTCATCTCATGGCCAGACCCTGTAATTCACTGACAGGGTGGAGTCAGTTTAAAAAAAAATATGCACGCCCGTGAAAAGGCCAGTGGCTAGAAGTGTGTGGGTGCGGTGGGGTGGGGTGTGGGTGGGTAGGTGTTGGTCTGGGGTTTGCTGCCATTCGGCTGGCTTTTGATTGGGAAGGGCCATTTTCAATGGCTGCCACTGTAAGAGTTAAACTGCAGGAGTTGAGATGGGAAATTTATTTGGTATATTTTCTAAATGAGGATTAAGGCTAAACTACTGTATAACACACCACGACAATTTGGGTTTTGCCTAAAAGCTGATGAGGGGCTATGTTGAGTCAATAGATGAGATAAGAAAATCCCATCAGTATTCTTAAAAAAGGGAGACTTTTGAATAAATTCCACAATGTCTATCTGTATCTACCTTTCACTCTTCATAACACTGCTCTTATTTTCTCCAGGATTATTGGTTTTGTGATACTGTCCTTGATTCTAAGCTGGGCTGCCCTAGGAATTGGCACTGCGACAGCTGTGGTGAGTAAGATAGGTACAACTTTTTAAACCTTTAGGAAAACAAAATCTGTTATCATTATTACCTTTTTTTGTATTTGTCCTAGGGGACTTGTCATTAATCTTTTGGGCCAGCATTCAAAGAAGTTAGATTCTTAAAAGGTTTCTGTGCAGTTTATTGTCAGCTCTTTTTTTAAGGTCAGCCATGCAGTAAAGCTGATTACACATCTCAAGTCTTTTAGATCAAAGAGCGTTTAATCCTTTAGCAAACAAAGGAGATTTCTAGTTTTAATTGCTCCTTCTGCTTTCTTAAAAACCTCACATCTTTGCTTGTTTTCTGTCTCTCCTTTAAGCTTCCTTATTTTTGACAGATTGTTCTATCTTAATAGTATACACCATGTGTTCCACGCATCTAGGCTTTGTGTGGTTAATGATGCACATATTAGAGATGCCGTCGGGGGTGTTAGGAGATAATATACCTTTGCTTCCAGCCTTCCCCATTTCTTATGTCCATGACAGGAAAATCCTCACATCTATATGTTGTCCCTCTGGTTTTGAGAGCTTGTAGGGCTCTTTCAAGAGAAGAGGGGGGAAGAGATGGTGTACAAGTTTCAAGCTAAAATCGAAGCAGCATTGAATGGCCATGGCACATTAGCAGTGCACCGGGTTGTGTCATGCACCCATGCCACCCCTTGTATTGATGGTTTTACTCATAGTATATAGACATAGCTAGTTGGTATTCCTGTCTGTAAGATTTGAAATGCTGTTGCTATCACCTAAAGTATATTATAAAGCAGTACAAAATAGGTAAAATAAGACATCTCCTCTTGAAGTTAGAAAAACTTGTTTTGTGGTTAAGGATATAAGAACCGCAATCCATAAAGAATGGCTATTTATTAGGTGTTGTCTGACACTATTTGAAGTTGCCAATCTACAAATATTTTAGGCCTGACAACTTGCACATGCCTTATTGATGTCCAAAACCTTTTTTTTAAATTTAATTAGCACTGCCATGTTTTTGCTTATGAAGTTTGAGGGTGCAAAGTCAAACTGCCTTGTCTAAGTGTTTTGCATGAAAACTCTACAAAATTCTGTTTTTGAACCAAAATGTCTCAAAAGGATCTGCAAAAAGCTCCAAGACACGTTTTGTTGGTCTTCAAAAGTAGGCAGATATAATAAGATCTTCCATGGATCTTTCCACTCGTCGTCTTCCGCTTTATCCAAGACTGATTAGGGGGAGCTGCAGTGTCAGCAGAGACTCCGAGACTTCACTTTCCTAGCCCCGCCAAAAGAATAGGTCCCCCTAGGGTGTCCTGGGTTGTCTCCTGGTCCTCCTATGGGATGGACGTTCCTGGAACACCTCCTGAGGGAGGTTTCTAAGGAACATCCAAAAAAGATGTCATAACCACCTCAGCTGACTCCTAATAATATCAAAGAGAAATGGCTCTACTCCAAGTCTCCCCCTGATGAGCAAGCCCTTACCCTATCCCTAACGTGCCCAGCCACCCTGCAAAGCAAGAAGCTCATATCCATGATTTCATTCCTCCATGCATGATCCAGATTTTATGACCATGTGAGAGGTTAGGAAGGTAGCCAACCAGTAAATCGAGAGGAAAAAGCAAGATGGCGCCAGTGTGTCAGGCGGGCCGTCAGCTGCTCCGATTGTTGTTTGTTTTTCTATTGTTTATAACTTATTTTGAACATACCGTCAACACTCTACGGGTGTATGATCGCCAAACACTGTTAGATCTGAGGATTTACGCCAAAAATCTTGTCAACGTCAACTTCAATTATTATGGACAAAAATCGTTGCCTCCTTTCCTATCGGGCATCCCGACATACCTCTGCCACACTCCGACGCCACCCCCGCGGCGAAAACGGCCCCGCCGCCGGGGTAAGCGTAGCGGCTGTCTGGTGAGGCTGAAGGCCGGGTTGGTACGTCCTGATCGAGGTGGATATGGAGCGGGGCTTCGCCTTTGTGTCTCTCGACGTTCCCTGGACCCCGTCGCTGCCTGGTTGGTACCGGTAGCGGGCTCGGATGTGATGTTTCAACCCCGCGGACTCTGCTCTCTTCGTCCCCGCTGGCGCGGAGTAAATCTGGGGAACCTGCGGCCTCTGTGTCGGGCCTCCCGGTCAGCTGATCGCCCTGACCCGCCAGCTCATGCTAGATTTGGCCTGGTAAACGCCAGATCGCTTGTGAATAAATCATTTATTCTTAAGGATTTCTTCATATCCCGGAATTTGGATTTCCTCTTCATCTCTGAGACCTGGCTGAAGGTTGGTGAGTCCAGTGTTTTCACCGATCTTCTACCTGATGAGTGCGCCTTTTTTAACTCTCCTCGGACGTCTGGCCGAGGAGGAGGAATTGCGACTGTTTTTAAGAGTAACTTTGATTGTAAACAGATATCGCTCTTAACCTCCTTTACCAGCTTTGAACTCAGTTTGTTTGAGCTGGGGCATTCTCACAGGGTACTGTGTGCTGTGGTCTACCGGCCTCCAAAATATAACAGAGACTTTTTAACAGACTTTTCTGTGTTCTTGGCTGATATCATGCCCAAATATGACCGGGTCCTTATTGTTGGAGATTGTAATATTCATGTGTGTTGCCCTGAAAGCCCTTTAGTGCGGGAATTTTTAAATATCATTGATTCTTTTAATCTTGTTCAGTCTGTACTCGGGCCTACACATGAACGTGGTCACACACTTGATCTTGTTTTATCTTATGGTTTGCCTGTTCTTAACCTGGAGGTCTGTGACGCTTTTTTCTCAGATCATATGCCTGTACTTTTTGAAGCTCCTGTTTGCTGTCACATAGTTAAATCTCACGCTGCTGCTCACAGATGCAGAGTGATTAACCCTTCCACTGCTGCTCACTTCTCCGCAGTGTACAGTCAGAACTGCGTTATTCCTGAGTCTTTGTATGAGGATACAGAGGCTCTTAACTCATGGTTTCTTGACACCTGTCAAACTGCCATAGACATTACAGCTCCATTAAAGATCAGGCAGCAGAAAGCTAAATCAGAGCCTTGGTTGAATGAAACAACCAGGACTGCCAGACAGAATTGTCGAAGAGCTGAGCGAAAGTGGAAAAAGGACAAATTGCAAATATCTTTTCAATTACTGAGAGAGTGTTGGCGTCATTACCAATCCACTGTGAAAGAGGCTAAAAGAAGATATTTTTCCGATATTGTTCTTTTAAACTGTGGTAAGCCTTGTGTGTTGTTTAAAGTTATCAACTCTGCTCTGAATGCACCTCAGACTGTAATTGAGGCCTCCCCTGCTGTGTGTGAGAACTTTCTTCACTACTTTATTGATAAAGTCACTTCTACCAGAGCACTAATTTCACCTCCTGCTTCTGATCCTTCGGTGTTTGTCCCCTGCTCTGCTGTGTTTGACATGTTTGAACCTGTGACCCTGCCTTTTGTGCAGGAGATTGTGGGTCACTTGAAGCCTTCAGGGTCTCCAGATGATACTGTCCCACCCCGATTTTTTAAGGAGGTCTTTCCCACTATCGGGCCATCGTGTCTCACAATTATTAATAGCAGTCTGTCCTCTGGAGTAGTCCCTTTAAATCTTAAACATGCAGTCGTGCAGCCTTTATTAAAAAAACCTGGGCTGGATCCTACTGTTCTGTCGAATTTTAGGCCTATCTCTAAGTTGCCTTTCTTCTCAAAAATCTTAGAGAAGATTGTTTATTCTCAGCTCATGGACTTTTTAAATGAACAAAATGTTCTTGAGATTTTCCAATCTGGTTTTAAAACATTGCACAGCACAGAATCAGCGCTTTTAAGAGTTTTTAATGACATCTTTTTAGCTACTGACTCTGGACACTGTGTTGTCCTTGTACTTTTAGATTTGACTGCAGCATTTGATACAGTGGACCATGAAATCCTGATTGCTCGTTTGGAACAGTGGGTGGGCATCAGGGGCTTAGCACTGGAATGGTTCATGTCCTACCTGTCACATCGGACTTTCTGTGTCAGCCTTGATGACTCTGTGTCCTCCACTGCTCCTCTCTCATGTGGGGTCCCACAGGGCTCCGTGCTTGGCCCTCTTTTATTTTCTCTCTATCTACTCCCACTTGGCTCCATTCTCAGGAAACATGGCATTTCCTTTCACTGTTATGCTGATGACAGCCAGATTTATGTCCCCCTCAAAAAGGCTGATTCCTACTCTGTTGAACCACTGTTAAGGTGTTTACATGACCTTAAAGCTTGGATGTCTTTAAATTTTCTGAATTTTAATGAAGAAAAGACAGAAGTCATGGTCTTTGGTGGCACATCTGTGACCCCCTCCCTAGTTGATCTAGGTTCTCTATCGCAATACAGTAAACCAACTGTAAGAAACCTCGGGGTAAAAGTGGACTCAGACCTTAAATTTGACAGCCAGATAAAAGCTGTAATGAAATCTAGCTTTTTCCAGCTAAGGCAGCTGGCAAAGATCAAACCAGTCCTTCAGAGACGGCACTTTGAGACAGTAATCCACGCCTTTGTGACCACTCGGCTGGATTACTGTAATGCACTTTATGTGGGGATTGCTGGGTCCTCAATTGCTCGTCTTCAACTTGTTCAAAATGCTGCTGCACGTCTTTTAACTGGCACACGCAAGTACGAGCACATTTCACCTGTTTTAGCTTCACTCCACTGGCTGCCCATCCATTTTAGGATTAATTTTAAAATTCTTTTATTTACTTTTAAAGCCTTGAATGGCCTTGCCCCAATTTACCTCTCTGAGCTTCTGCACCCCTACACTCCCAGCCGATCTCTCAGGTCAGCTGATCAGCTGCTCCTGACAGTGCCTAAAGCAAGGCTTAAGCTCAGAGGGGATCGAGCGTTTTCTGTTGCAGCTCCAAAACTCTGGAATGCATTGCCGCTGCACATTAGACAGGCCACCTCTCTGTCTCATTTTAAAACTCTTCTTAAAACCCACCTCTTTTCTTTGGCTTTTAACACCATGTAGAGTGTTGATTTTATGTACACATGTTGATTTTATGTACACATGTTGATTTTATGTATACACATGCA